TTTAATTCAGACATTGAAATAGGAATGTGAAGAAAATATCAAAATATCCTTGAGAAATAAAACATAAATAAAACCACACAACCAGAACAAAAATGAAATGAACTCTCAGTCTCTGTTAGCTAAAACTTCACTTATATAGATTTTGCACAGGGGTGGGCGATAGTGTATGTAGTAATGGGAGGGAAAAGCCTGCTGTTTATTCTGGAATTATGTTTGCTAAAATGTTGGTGACATTCTTAGGCGATAAGTCGATATTGTGACTGGCAGTAATTACATACCGTATATATATGATAAGTTAACATAAGTATTGTGACAGGCCTAATGGACACAGAATAGGCCACACACATGCACACATAATAAACAACTGAAAAATCTTAAATCTTTCAGTGCATAAAATGTAGGACAGTTCCACACTCGGGCCACAGCCAAGGGCCAAGTGGCCTTTATATGGCAGCCTAGAGGCTCCGGCAATATTTGTAATGTAAAAAAGTATTGGTGAGAATAAACGCAGCTGTGGTGGAAGTGCTTAAATATGCTGTTTAAGAGGAAAAGAGCAATTTCCAATGAAAGGAGGATCAGGAATTCATAAATATTCAGTAGGAAACATTTTATTGCAAACATAAGTCACCGTTGGCCACAGTTGAGGTTTTCTTTGTATTCTTTTTTATTTTTATAGTCTAGAGAGTTGGAGTTTCACTACATGTAGGATGACCTAAAATCATAGACACATGCATACTGTCTGCATTTAGGATCTGATATTCTTTCGCCAGATCAACAAAAAACCCTTCTGACTAAAAACAAAAGTAGTAAATAAATGAGATGCAACTTACAGAGCATGTGCACATAACACACTGGTTGCTTTGCTTCGACGGAAAGAGGTCGTGCTTATTGAAGGTCTCCCCTGGCTGATAAATACTTCCATTGTACCTGCAGGATTTCACTGAAGCTCTCAGCCCTGCGGGGATCCTGGGCTCATCTGAAGACGACACATCACACAGGACAGGAGGCTTTTAAAGTCACAACAAGAAGCGATTCTCTGTAAAGCCTCAGAGCTGATAAGTGTTTAGAGGAGGACAGTCTACCTGTGCATCTTGGACAACACTGCTGGGGCTCAGCCACTGGGTTTTCACATGGCAGAGCAGGACACTTGATTGTGTTACATTTCACATGGCCTGTCTGAGAGAAAGAGAGAGAGAGAGAGAGAGAGAGAGAGAGAGAGAGCAATATCACAGCTTACAGGCAGGGGCTGTCAGCAACTAGAGAGTTCTTTAAAAAGTCGAGCAGTTTTCATTTTAGTGTAATATTCCTTTAGATGTTTTCTCTGCAGGGATAACGTTTGTCAGTGTTAAAAGGTACCTCTGTGCAGACACAGCGCATGCAGAACATGAATCCAAAGGGCTCCAGATAGGGATGCCAGCTGTCTCCTGGGCTGTATGCCTTGTCTTTAAAGGTACACACCACCCCGGACCCTGGGGTGTCAAAAAATGAAGAGGATGAGCAACAGTACTGAGAAACGCATACGGTGCAGATGAACCGAACAGGGGGGGTGAAAAAAACAAAGGGATTTTACATGTGAACTCATGTATAAAACATTGGGTCCAAAGCTACAATCAGCTCCAAGTAATGCAAACTAGAGGGGGACGTGAAACTGCACTGATCCCACCACAGGCCATAATAAGCATTAACGCAAACAGAAGTCATGATTTGACTTTTGGTGGCAGAATAAACTTCACCACAAAACACCAACTTATCTGTAGAGCAGTAGAGGATGTTCATTTTTAAAATATCAGCTCAGTTCTTTCTTTTTTTTTGGCAAAGTCCGACTAAACTTTCCTTGTCTGAGTCACATTTTCATGCTTTTCCTTCTTTTAAAGCCCACACGTTTGATCAGGACAGAATAAGCATCAGCAGGGTCTGGTCTTACCTTTCCGGGGTTTTAGCTCCGCATCTGCAAACCAAATGATGAAACAGAACAAAAACGTGGACTTCATCTTTTACATGTGCGTGACTGAGTCTTCAACGCGCAATAAATATGTGTTTCTGCGAGGGAGGCAAAAACTGCAGGACAGTGTGAAACAGGCATAAAAGAAACTCCAGCATTTTCCTCGGTTGACCTCTGGCGCCTCCCTCAGGACAGAAGAGGCAGCGCCGGATGGAGAACAGGGATGGCAGCAGACTGGAGGCATGACCCGAAAAGAGATGAGATATGGAGCAAATAACAGAGGAAGTGTGGGATGTTTTAAGTGTAAGTATCGATTTTACACCCAAAAAATACCTGACTACAAGCAAAAGTCCTGCTTTCATAATGCTACTTAAGTAAAAATACTAAAGTATTAGCAGCTAAAGGCACTTAAAGTATCAAAAATAGCTTCTTTCAAGGTGTGTTCTACTTTATTTTTTCTTTATTATTATTAGTAGTAACGCATTAATGTGCATCCTAATTTTAACTATTTATTATACTAGTTTAATAATCAAAGAATATTTTCTGAGCTAGTTACTACAGATGTCAGATAAATGTGGTAAGTAAAAAGTACAATATTTGCCTCTGATATGTAGTGAGGTAAAAGTAGAAGGTAGCTTAAAATGGAACCACTCAAGTAAAGGACAAGTACCAATAATGGCTATACATGCACACTACCGCCCCCAACATCATATTTTGTCTATTGGTCTCCTGATGACAAAAGAGTAGTTGTCAGATGGGTAAAAACACAAGTGTGTGTGGTTGATATACTGTCATAATAATCTGTCATAATCTTCTATTACATACAGTGATAGAGAAAATATCCCTGAATAATGCTGGATTAAATTATGTTTTATAAAGGTATCCTTGTTAAGTTTCTTGTGCCCTGTAGTAAACACCAAAACCAGTCTAAACCAACTAAAATGCACAGAGAAGGCTATGGACAAATGAGGGCAACATACAGACAGTTCTCCATTTATTAACACATGGGGGGGTAAAACAGTGCAACCATGTTAAAACAGACATCAAGATGCCAAGAAACATACTTGAAGATATGAAAAACGAAAGAGATGTGACCAATACAATAAGTCCGTTTACATCTGCTCCCTCCTATGATGCTTATCACATGGCTCGATAATAAAACATTTAGTTTGTAGTAACAGTTGGATTTACAGTCCGTGCAGACGTATAGAAACCAAAACGAAACTTGATCACAGATTCCTAAAATCCACAAAACTGTATTTTCTAAAATGCTATTCCTCTTAAAATGTAGGAGATGGCATGCTTCCAATTTTACAAAGTTCTGATAAAGGGTGAGACTAAGAAAAAGATCAAGAACAAATTTAAACCAAAATCTGGTCAATAGACGGCATTCCTGTTTCCCTTTTAAAAACTGCACTGGATATTTGGAACACTGTCAGCAGGACTCTTCAACCATGCTTTGCCTAAAACCTTGCTTTGCCTAAAACCTTGCTTTCAAAACGTCCCCTGGCCTCGCCAAAGCTAAAATTTGTCAGTAGTTATATGATAAAAATGTCACCTAGAACTGTAAATGCACATCTGCATTAAAAATTTCAATCAATGCCAAAAAACAAACAAAAGTCCATTAAAAATGAAGATATCGAGTGTTTTTAAGTAGCTGAACACCCACTGGACACATTATTTTTTTTTAAATCAAAACATGTTTCTCATACTGTATAGTACATGAGCAAATGTTAAACATGTAGAGTGATCCACCTCCTGGATCAGACACACCTGAGTACCTCCACCAAACAAAGATTTCATGATTTCAGCACAGTCTAAGTCAGAGAGTGGCATACATACTAGATTCAACACCTGTCATATAAGTTATACTTTTAAAACGTCTTAAGTACAGGATATTGCATTATAGGATGAATTAGACTGTGCACACAGACACACACTCACCCGTCTGTACACACAGACACACAGACATACAGACACACACACACACACACACGCACATGCACACGCACACAACAGTAGACGGAAAGCATAAATGGTGAAGACTCAAGAACTGCTGCTGTGTGCCCCTGTGTCGTCCTCTTGCTTTTGCCGTTTCTTCGCTCGGATCTCATTCATGGCTTCCTCTATGGAGCGAGTGTCCCTCTTGTTGGCCACAGGCACTGGGAGAGAAGAAAATACCAGCGTAATGAATAAATCAAGAGCAGATATTATGTGAGAAGTGAAGCAATCCATTTTTTTTCCTTCTATCTGACAGATTCAGAGTGACGTTTACTCACCACAGCCGTAAGCACTGTTGGCCTCTAGTGTGTGTGCTGCATCTTTTGCAGCTGAGGTGCCGATCAGGTGACTGTACTTGTCTCGGTAGTTAGAGTTGGGACATGCCTCGACCTTCTTTGTCTTACTGGATGCCGTTTCTTCCAATGCAGCCTGTTCCTGGAGTGAAGAGGACAGAAAACGTCAGAGACTGTTTGATATCATCAAGCTGCAATGTGAAATACCAAATAACATCGTCTGTATGTAAGAACTTTATAAATAAATGAGTATTTAAAACCATAAATATCTCATGATGTTCATTCGTTAATTGTTCATTTGTCTATGTTCAGCAACTTACTGATAGTAAGGAAACAAATGCACAACAATAAAACCCAGAAATGCAAGTTATCCTGTTACTTTTTCCATACTAACCGAGACCGGTTAGTATGTATTAAGCCCTTTTCAGACATGAAAAACATTGGTGACTTCTATCTGTTAAAGTTTTGGCTTTATTAAGACATGACAGGACATTTACTCATGTGATATTTGGCGACTTGTTTGCAGGAGGGAGCAGAGACAGAGTGAGAGAAAGAGAGTGAGCAGTGGTGGGTTAAAATTGTTATAATAGCAAGGAAGCGGAGAGGATGAAGCGTGGCTTTGGCTGCATTCACACAAAATCTGGCAACGTGGCTCCGTCCTGTAGGGTTGTGCAGAGTTGTAGTCGTGTTTATTTGTGCTTTGTGCTGCGTTTCTCAGAAAATAATGTTTTATTTCTCCGATTTACTGCTTTGATCTCGCCAACACTCATCTCTTCACCTCTCACTTGTTGAGCCGGGTGCCAACTGTGAATCGTGCTTACAAACGGCAACCGACAAATCCTACTTATTCTGCATTTAAATACTTCTTTAATTCGATGAATCACTTTATTAAAATGTAGGTTTATTTTGTTTGAGGAATTAAAATACAATTCAGTCTGATCTGATATGAGCAATACTGCAGGATTGATCTTCTTTCTATTTGTGCGTAAGAGCTGATTAGAAATCAGTGATCTTAGAAGGAAGTGAAAGTCATGTATTTGTGTCTCTCTCTACATGTTTAACTTAACTCAATACGACTGCATTCAATTCAGACTTCTGCCGTGTTCAAAGTGATATGGAAAAGGTTACTGGGTCCAGCCTTTAAATTGCCATCAGATTAATGTAGAGGGGTGTATATCAGAAAGGAGCTTCAGTGAAATAAAAAAAAAAAAACAGAGCATCCAGTCTTACTTTTAGTCGGCGCCGTTGCTCCGCCAGCTGCGGATTCCACTCCTCTCCTTTGCGATAAGCTTCCAGCTCCTCGTCTGATGGAGCGAACTCCTGCCACAGCACAAACTGGAAATTAGTCGCACTTCCCCACATTACTTGTATATTTAACACTGGATTCAAAACAAAGCATTCAGACCTTCTTGAAAAGCATGACGTAGCGGCTCTCCTCGTCCTCCCCAAAAGAAAAAGAAGTCAGACCGGCCACTTCTGCAACATCATGCCTACGAAACAGGAGGGAATGAAATGTAAATAGTTGTGAGCACATCATGTTTATGCTTATTGTAATCATCTAAAGTAATGACCACTTACAATATACTCCTTTCAATCTTCCCCATAGGATTGTACTTTCGTTTCTGTTGTGAACTGTCTTGAATGAAATCAGACACTTCTTTCTCCATCTAAACAAGAAATAGGGAGACACAGTCTGTAAGTTTGCACGTGATACAGAGCAGCAGTGGTGGAGGGAGGCAACCGGAGCTTAGTGGTCATTTAATCAGGTACACTTGTACAACGTAATGCAATCAAATACAACAACCTACTTTTAGGATGCCTGTTAGGTTCAGGTTTTGTTTACATGGCCACAGAGGTGTAACTTATTATGCATTAGCACTGTGGTCATTGGCAGCGGTGGTGCTGTAGTTGTATTGGGTTGCATTAAATTGTACAGGTCTACCTAATGAAGTGGCTCCGAGTGTATATTCATGTGTATTATATATGCGACACCTTTTTCCTGAACGCTGCTTTCTTTCTTTTTTCGTCTTCCTCCATCTTCTTGAGTCTTGCAGCTTGCTCTGAAAACAGAAAAAAACAGAAGTTAAAGTTTTCACGGAGTTTGTTTATTTCCGATAGTATTTAAAGTTTCCGCTGTAAACACAGATCATGCAGTCTTACAGCCACAGTTGGCCTACTTTTCTACTATTTTTAAAGACTTGAGTCAGAAAAGGGCCTAATCAAATCCTATTATTTGTTCCATGTGTCCACAAACAAACAGACTCTGATGTTTTACTAGTAGGCACACTCATTCCGGTAATTAAACGGATTTGGATACTTTTTATTAGCGCCGTCTTGTGGCTTTGTCTTCACAACTTTAAAGTGGATGAAGTTTCACCATGTTGCACTTATGGGATACTGCAGTTTTTATTAGATATAAATGGAGCCTAAAGGAACAGTGCCTGCTATTTGCAACTATTAAAGTCTCAAAGGGATCTTTCACTAACTAATAGCATTTACAAATGAAAAAATTCAGAATTATGTGCACATTTTACTCACAATAATATTTTATAATTCACTCAAATGCCCATATCCTGAATATACAGGAAGAGTAAGGTTTCTGAAGAGTCTAAGAGAGAAAGCTAAATGTGATAAAGAATGGAAACAATAAGGGCTCATAATACATCAGTCTGTAAATGCAGACTGTGTGCAGCAGATCAAACAGTGCTGGTTGTTCACAGAGTGCAGTACCAAACAAATATCGCCATTTTGACTTCATGGAGTGCTTCCAAACAGTGAACCATTCACAACACGACTGCTTCACAGTGACCCAGAAAGCTTTGTTTCCTCGACCACTAACGCAGACCGTCCT